GATGAAAAACTTAGTCTCTGTTACTTTTAGCAGCTGAGATAAGATTCTGAAATACGAATGTAGATTATCTAGGAACATAGAACCACTTCGCTGAAGAGACTGTCGTCACCCCATTTTTTCTTTCATTTTTGTGTTTAAAAATGCATGCATTTCAGGTGAAATGGATGAAAACAACAATTTCTCTTCTTCAAAACCATGAACACTAAATACTTACTCTATATTCAACAATTCCCTGATGATGACATTATGCTATGTCGAAAGTACTCGGAATAAATACAATATGCGCCAACACGGTGTTTTCTTCTCATCTTTTAACAACCGCACAGAAAAGCTTATTCGTGAATATAAAAGGATCTTATCCGAAATAAGCAGACAGAATGTGTCTAAATTATTTAACCAAACCTGTCTATATATATATATATATATATATATATATATATATATATATATATATATATAGGTAATAATCTGTTGGTATACAATCCAGTTGAATTCTAAGAATATAAAATATTAAAACTGAGCCACAAAAAGAGCTCAATGTATTTATTATAACAGAGCATATAAATTACATAGAATAAAAATCCAAATTTACCTCACTCGAATAGCTATTTCAACAAACAAGAAAACCTATGGTGCCATTGTCAACGCACTTCTGAGTTGACAATACCACCATATGTCTTCTTGTTGGCTGAAATAGCTATTTGAAAGAGGTAAATTTTGATTTTATTCTATGCAATATATATATATATATATATATATATATATATATATATATATATATATATATATATGTATGTATGTATATAAATAAAAAGAAAAGAACAGTAAGATATAAAATCCGGTGTTCTTATAGATATTTTTATTTTTACATAATAGTGCTCAATGTAAATTTACAGAGCATTAATATTATAAATTAATTGATTTAAAATATGGTTTTTCGCTACACATTTCAACCATGTTTCAAAATAGAAGCTAAAACCCCGAATTTAATTTTGCAATTAAATTAAAAGCATTAGTTCCATTTTCGCTTGAAGATGAAATGGAACTAATGCTTTTAATTTAATTAAAATTAAATTCGGGTTTTTAGCTTCTATTTTGAAACATGGTTGGAACTGTGTAGAAAAAAAAAAAAATTTTAAATCAATTAATTTATAATATATATATATATATATATATATATATTGAGAGAGAGAGAGAGAGAGAGAGAGAGAGAGAGACTGTATCAAAATACTTTTACAAATTTTGGTGTCAGGTCCCGCACACCAAAACAAGTTCAAACTTCTATATAAACATATGTGCGCAAATTCTTCGTTTCCGATTTAAGTTTAAAGAAAGTTTACAGTAGATGGCGCTTTGTTCTCATGTAGACTAGGTTACATTTGTCATTCGTGTACATTTGTGGCTAGTCTGTCTTCAACGTTTAACGCGTGTAGTAGTGAGTTAACTGAGACGTGTTCCATTTAAAAATGGCAAGATATTCATATCGTGGGCAAGCGGATATTATTATTTTTACATACGGCCGCGCGAATGGCAATGGACGCGAGGCTGCACGGCTGTATCAGATTGCGTTTCCAAACCGGAGGTAGTCGGTTCATCCAAAATTTTCTGCTTGTTATCTCGCGTTGCTAAGACAGGATCCATGGCAACAGAAACTATGGATCGAGGAAGACCTAGGTCACCTGTTACGCCTGACAACGAAGAATACATTCAACAGGTTGTCGGAGACGATCCAAGTATCAGCACTCGTCAAGTTTCCCTTGCATGTCGTACATCTCATAGTACCTCATGGAGGGTACTTTAAGAGTCTCTCTTGTATCTGTATCATTTGCAACGTGTGCAAGGTCTTTCACCCTCTGATCATTCACCACGGGAGAACATTGGCCGATGGTTTATTGCACAAACTGTCAATACGTTCTTAGTCTTTTCATTTTTGTCCATAGATGAGGCAACATTTGGAAGAGATGGAAAAACAAATTTACAAAACCAACATTTGTAGGCGGATCGGAATCCCCATACAGGCTAGACACCGGCATTTGTTTACAATTAATGTGTGGGCTGGAAATGTAGATGACGTTTTTCATTGTCTTGATGTGAGGAAGCCGGCCCCAAAATCTATGAAAATATTTTTGATAAACCTATATATATATATATATATATATATATATATATATATATATATATATATATATAACATATAGATAAAGATACAGTGTAACCCGGATAGAAGAAACCCGGATATAAGAGAGATTTTCTCTAGTCCCAAAGTGTTCCCATACTTACCTAAACAAAATAGACCAAACCCGGATATAAGAGAAACCCGGATATAAGAGACTTTTTCTCCGGTCCCGACAACTCTCTTATATCCGGGTTACACTGTAGATACATGCATACATAAATACATATGAACAGAATGAGATAGATTTGAACAGAATAAGATAGATAGAAAGATAGATAGACAGATATGAAGAGAATTAAATAGATACATGCATATATTATAAAC